AGTGATGGTGCTGGCGATGAGGATGGTACTGACTGTGGTGATGCTGGTGATTGTGATAATGAGGATGAAGATGACGGTATTACGGTCATGGCGCTGACAATGATAATGGTGATATTGACGACGATAATGTTGGTAAGATGTTTATGGTAATAAAGATACTGGTAACGATAAAACACTAATACCAACCATAATAACAAAAACTGTAACAATAAACAACAATAATGATAACAGAAACCATTACGTCACCTACCCTTCTGGACCTTGTGACTTTTGAGGATCTTTTTCCTAAGAACTGGTAATTTGCTATCAAACCTCGAGCGGTCGATCATGTGAGGACCGTTGCTTCCGTGGCGTACGAGGTGCCACAATGTCACTGGATTGCATCCTGAGGAGGATATTTGAAAAGAAAATGTTATCGTAGACGGAGAGTGAGTGGCACCGATTTCATACGTTTCCTGATGCGCTAAGAATTAGGGTTGTAAGGATAGTTCAACTATTCGAGGAGAGAGAGAGAGAGGGGGGGAGGGGGAGAGAGAGGGGGAGAGGGAGAGAGAGTGGGGGAGGAGAGAGAGTGGGGAGAGGAGAGAGTGGGGGGAGAGGAGAGGAGTGGGGAGAGGGAGAGGAGTGGGGGGAGAGGGAGAGAGGTGGGGGAGAGGGAGAGAGGGTGGGGGGAGAGGGAGAGAGAGTGGGGGAGAGGAAGAGGTGGGGAGAGGGAGAGAGAGTGGGGGGAGAGGGAGAGAGGGGGGAGAGGGAGAGAGGGGAGAGGGAGAGAGGGTGGGGGAGAGGGAGAGAGGGTGGGGAGAGGGAGAGAGGGTGGGGGAGAGGGAGAGAGGGTGGGGGGAAGGGAGAGAGGGTGGGGGAGAGGGAGAGAGGGTGGGGGAGAGGGAAAGAGAGTGGGGGAGAGGGAGAGAGAGGGGGAGAGGGAGAGAGTGGGGGAGAGGGAGAGAGAGTGGGGGGAGAGGGAGAGAGGGGGAGAGGGAGAGAGAGGGGAGAGGAAGAGGGAGGAGGGAGAGAGAGGGAGAGAGAGAGAGAGAGAGAGAGAGAGAGAGAAGAGAAGAGAGAGAGAGAGGAGAGAGGGGGGGGGGAAGAGAGAGAGAGAGGGGGGGAGGGAGAGAGAGAGGGGAGAGAAGAGAGAGGGGGGGAGGAGAGGGAGAGAGAGAGGAGGAGAGGAGAGAGGAGAGGAGAGAGAGAGGGGAGAGGGAGAGCGAGAGGGGAGGAGATGGAGAGGAGAGAGAGCGAGACGGGACACAGAGAAACATAAAGCACTGTACTAATATATGCTCACCCGAGGGAATGACATCTTCCGCCTTCACATACATGGAGGAGCCGCTCCTGTATGGGGTTAGGAGAGCGAAGCCCGTGTAAGGTTCATCGTCTTCGGAGAGACAATATACTTTGTCTTTCCCTTTTTTCTTGGTTACAGAGTCCAGAAGTATTCTTGACATGTTAATATTCTCCGTTAACACGAATGGGAATTTTTCATGTGGCGTTCCTGAGCCCTCGATTTCTGACATCTTCGATCCATCTTCATCTGGCGTCTCTGAATTGTCGGCTTTTGTCAGTTCTAAATCCTCGGCTTCTGACAACTCTGAACCCTCGGCTTCTGACAACTCTGAACCCTCGGCTTCTGACAACTCTGAACCCTCGGCTTCTGACAACTCTGAACCCTTGGCTTCTGACGTCTCTGAACCCTCGGTTTCTGACGTCTCTGAATCCTCGGTTTCTGACGTCTCTGAATCCTCGGTTTCTGACGTCTCTGAATCCTCGGTTTCTGACGTCTCTGAATCCTCGGTTTCTGACGTCTCTGAATCCTCGGTTTCTGACGTCTCTGAATCCTCGGTTTCTGACGTCTCTGAATCCTCGGTTTGTGACTCCTCTGTATCGGCTTTTAACATCTCTGAATCTTCGGCTTCTGACACCCCAGAATCCTCTGCCTCTGCCGTCTCTGAATCCTCGGATTCTGACGTCTCTGAATCCTCGGATTCTGACGTCTCTGAACCCTCGGCTTCTGACGTTTGTCCTCGGGACACTCCTGTATCATCGGCTTCAAACAGCTTTAAACCATCGGCTTCTGACGTCTTTGCAACCTCGGCTTCTGATGTCTCTGAATCCTCGAATTCTGACGACTCTGAATCCTCGGTCTGTGACACCTCTGTATCATCGGCTTCAAACATCTTCTGACTGCAACCTCGGCTTCTGATGTCTCTGAATCCTCAGTCTCTGACGTCTCTGAACCCTCGGCTTCTGACGTCTCTGAATCCTCGGTCTGTGACGTCTCTGAAGTCTCTGAACCCACGTATTCCGGTACGTTCTCTCTGTCGTCTTCAAACGCCTTTGAATCCTTGGTTTCTATCGTCTCTGAGTCCTTAGGGTTTGCGACACCTGACGTCTCTAAGGCCACAGCACCTGTAAGAGTTGACCTTAACGATTTTCCATATTGCTTCACATCCAGCAGGACATTCAGAAACGCCATCGCCAGCAGAAGGCTGAAGACGCCCACAAGAAGCCACTTCATCCTGTTCTCCATCTCTCAGCTGCAAAAAGATATGCATAATAAAATTCAGCTTCCTCTTCGCTTACAGTCTACATCATCTTGGTGAATAATGAAAACACAATCGTCATTTTTCGCTCTCAAGCAATGAATACTTCATATTTACATTTGAAAATCAGTTAACCTAAACAGCATAAAAATACTTTCTCAAACTGTATGTACGGTTTTGCTATATTTTTCATTCCCTTTCTTCCTATGTACTATTGAAGCATTTTGGAGATAACTCCTTCCTCTAGTTTATGTCAGTAGGTGAACACGCCTAAGGTTCTATAGGCAGGCTCGTGTATCCATGTAAGAAAGAATACCCGAGGTTTGGAACCGCTGTTCGAAACAACTGTGTTCGCTTTAGGGGTGGTTCAACATTTTCAACATTTTCACAAGCGTACAAAGAACTCTCTTTGCTGACCACCACCCCTCATTGCCATCTAAAAGCGTACACCTGGCAATGTTTATGCCAGACGTGCCCTTGAGCTGACAGGGTAGTCCTGATAGCCATGCTACCCCTAAAATCTTTTCATAATTAGGGGTTATTTTCACTTGGGAGAAGGTTCAGGATCATTTCCAGTCGGGACAAAGAATCAGAACCAAGTCGGAGAAATATTTCACACCAACTATTGAATATACTAACTTTCAGCATGAATGAATTTATTGATCATTTATTAAAAAAAATATATATATATATATTTTTTTTGTAACAAAAAATACCTAGGGTCGTGAAGGCAGGAAAGTGTTATTTAGCCACAGATACTGAGCGTTCGATACTATCTTACTACATTTTCATAAAAAAGCGTGCGAGCGGGTTTAATCCCCACCCTCACCCCATCCCCCAACATGCACTTTGTACTTTCGTGGAAATGTTGGAAATTTTGAACCACACCTTAGTGGATTCTTTTATTCTTGTTGTGATCTCAGTAACCTAAATAGGTTGGAAGTGACTACTGATACGGCAGAGAAGACCAGATGGCTGGCCTGTGGATGCGTGGTGAAACAAACGAGATACCAGTCTTTATTAGGTAGGTTCTATTCATTACCCGGAAATGACGCTATTAAGCGCATAAGCATGTGTGTTGTAAGCCCAACTGCGAGATATCGCATACAGCGGTCGCATGCTTAACCTAGGCCAAATTAGGTTATTACAAGACCCTCAGAGTCGAATCTGAAGTTTGATCGATGGAAGGTGTACGCTTCCGGATCTTAAAAGTATGGCCGAGGTTATACTTACGGCAGGCGTATCCGATTTCTCGCGGTTAGGCGTACGGCACTCTTACGCCGCCATCTTGTTTGTTTTACCACGCATGCGCAGGACACAAATCGGGACCTTTTCTGCCCTACCAGTAGTCACTACCTTGAAATATATATTCTAGATAGGTCGGCTACACAACATCGGTCTGACCGCCACGCTTCTCATTGCTTCGAGACATGGGAGCAGCCTTATAGCGACAACCGACTGGCTGGCTCTTGCACTCTCTGTAGGAGTAAGTGCCTGAGCCGCATTCAGAGCAAAGGGCATTTTTTGTATTGCACTGAGGCATAAGGTGGCCGTAGGTAAAACAATTCTTGCATTGTTTGAGAGGTGTGAACCTCTCAAACTCCACTTGCCAAGGGGCAACACATACCTTGAAGAGGTAGAGCCCTTTCTCCTTTATCTGTTTGGCTGCGGCATGGTCGGAGAACCTGACCTTGATCATGTAATTTAGCTTCATTACAAAGACATGCTCCACTTTGGCCTCAGGAACAGAGGCCATGATCTCGTCAGCAATGTCTTGCTCTGGCTCGTTGACTACCTGGCGATCGAGCTTTTTAAGTACAAGGGTGAGCTTGGCCTTCATCTCTATCGGGAGGATAGGGGTGAAGCCATGCTTTTCCAAGGTCTGGAGGACCTCTTTGGAAAATAGCCTTTCGGCCTGAGTGTCATCCTCGACGAGGACAAGCTAGCCTTCGTGGATGGTGAAATACCGAAGCACTCGGATTTCGGCGTTAGAAAAAACATTCGCAAGGATCTCGCGCTTCCTCGGGATGGACCGCCGAGGGTTTTGATCTTAATTTTGGCATGTTTACTCAGGGAGCACGAGTGAGGTGATATGAGGTGGAGTGAGGGTGAAATGGCAGGGGTGATTGTGAGGTGATGCAGAGAGATAGAAAGGCTGGAAAAATGGAACCTAGACTCGACCCCCCCCTTAGTGACAGCCTGATGGAGTTCAGTGTCCTAGAGGATCGGAGCTCTGTGTTCGGCCGCCTCTTTACTGCCAATCCTTGCTTAAAAGGAACAACAGTTGAACAGCGCATCACCCAGACGAATACAAAAGCCCGCGAGGGACTTAAGCAGGTCCAGATAACCACAGTAAAGGGAAGGAGTTTAGTAGGAGAGATAGGGCACCTAAATGTCACCTCAGACTGCTGGGCCTCACTATACAGGTTGCCCTGTGATAGTGCTGCGGGTCTGAGAAGAGATGCAAGGTTCCCTGATCATCGTTTATAGCTGTGAGAAGAAAAACCTTGAGGAGGCAATGGCAAGAACAAAACAAACAGAGTTATTGAGAATTAACATTTACTGTATGAAGTGAGAGGATGTCAAAATGGACTTCAGCGCAATTGAGGCCCCGGCAGACCAGGGTTGCTCAATGACACGTTGGCACTATCACTTGGCATAAACGTCATTTCGTCAGCATAGAATAGGTGGTGGGGCCGAATTGCGGTTGTCTCTTTTTGAGTATATATATTCCATAGTGATGAAGTAGCGAGTTTAGTAAATTACTGGATGCCCTGCGATTGGCTAAGAGTGTCCGAATCGTTTTGTTGTTTTCTTTGAAGGCCTTTTTTAGCGCATTTATTAATTTTCTAACAGCATTGCCAAAATGCATTTGTATGGCCTATACTCGAGGATTTGTGAGGGGGGGCAATGTGACGTCATCATGTTAAGGCCAAGAACCTAGATGTTTTCATGTATATTTCGGTTATATCAATTACATCATCATCAAGGGGGCTGACGCCGACGGGGGCGCATAGCCGCATCCACCCTTCGCTTCCACCTACGAGGATCCCTCATGGCTAGACGCCAGGCAGGGACTCGGCCCATCTCTAGTTCTTCACGGCAGGTTTGGTCGATCTGCCCAAGCCATGACTTCCTCGGTCGTCCCACAGGCCTCCTCCACCCAGGGTTGTCTCGAACAGAGACGACCTGATGGGCAGGATCATCCTGAGGAAAGCGAGCCAGGTGGCCGTATAGCCTGAGTTGGCGATCACGGATTGTGCAGATAACAGGGCTTGTGCCAGTCTCACGGTGCAACCGTTGGTTGGACACATGGTCCCGCCAACAGTACCCCATGATCTGGCGCAAGGACCTATTGCAAAAGGCTTCAAGACGAGCCTCCAAGGCACAGGACAATGTCCAGGTTTCGCTACCGTATAGCAAAACTGGCATTATCAGGGCCTTGAAAACCCGTAGCTTGGTCCTTCTGCACAGGTACCGACATCTCCAAATACTCTTGTTGAGAGAGTTCATGACCCCTGCTGCCAGGCCAATCCGTCTGCTGACTTCATGGTCTGACAGCCCAGAGTTATGAACTACACTACCAAGGTATGTAAAGCTCTCTGTGACTTCAATGTCCTCGCCGCAAGCACGTACCGACTGAACAGGTTCTCCTACAAGTCCCCAAATTCCTGGACCTTGGTCTTGGTCCAGGAGACCTCTAGACCCAGGGGCTTCGCTTCATTGCTAAATGCATCGAGAGCCGCCACTAGGGTTTCCAAAGACTCAGATAGAATGGCAACGTCATCAGCAAAGTCAAGGTCTGTAACCTTGATATTGCCCAGCGTTGCCCCACAATGACTTTGAACAGTAGCTCTGCCCAGTATCCAGTCCATGCAAGTGTTGAAAAGAGTTGGTGCAAGGACACAGCCTTGCCTCACTCCTGAACTAACAGGAAAGAAGCTCGACAGGCCCCCACCACACTTTACAGCACTTTCAGTACCAGTATACAGGCTTGCTATTAGTCCAATAATCCTTGTTGGTATTCCTCTCAGCCTCAGGATCTCCCAAAGTGACTCCCGATGCACCGTATCGAACGCCTTCTTGAGGTCGATGTAGGCTGCAAGCAGCCCACGCCCGAACTCACGACGGCGCTCTACAATGACTCGAAGCGCGAGGATACGGTCTATTGTGGACTTACCAGGAGTGAATCCGGATTGCTCCAGTCTCTGGTGCCTCAGTAGATGGTCTCTGATACGTCTCAGAAGGATGTGGGCGAGAACCTTGCCTGGTACACTGAGCAGTGTGATGCCTCGGTGATTGCTGCAGTCCCAACGGTCCCCCTTCCCCTTCCAGAGAGGGATGACCACACCCCTCAACAGGTCAGGAGGAACGGAACCGGACTGCCAGATGGCAGCCAGGACAGCATGTAACCCCCGTGCCATAGGTTCACCACCAGCCTTTAACAGTTCAGCTGGTATGCCGCAGATACCAGCTGCTTTACCACTCTTCAGCTTGGAAATCGCCCCCCTAACTTCAGTTAGGGAGGGAGGGTCCTCACTGATAGGTGGATCCGGCAGCGGGATCTCGACACTACCCGCATCCAAGTTAACTGTTGGTGGGTCAACCTGGTACAGCTGCTCAAAATACTCAGCCCAACGTTCCCCCACCGCAACAGGATCTGAAACGATCTGACCACTTACTGAGCGAACTGCTGTCACCTGTGAAGAGGGCTTGGAGTTCAGCTTTCTCAGGGCTTGGTATGCAGGACGAAGGTCATTTACTAAGAAATGGCCTTCTACCTCCTCTGCAAGATTCCTAATAAACTGTTCCTTGTCCCTTCTTAACAGGGACCGAGTTCTGCGCACATGAGAACGGTATCCATTACCTCAGGAGTAAACTCAAAATTTTCGCAGTTATTTCCTCTCAATAATCGTTCCATGCTGTTAGCAACCTTCGGAAAAAAAGATCTTCATTACAGAAGCTAACAGAAGTTTCACCTTCTGTGTTATATTTTCGCTGTCATTATGGGTCGTATGGGTCACAATCCAAAGCAATTTTGTTTAAATATGTCATATGTGAAATATTGTATGTAAGAAAAGTTAACAATATATTCTATAAATCTACCTATGATATCATATAAACTATTATCCTGTCATTTCTGGCATCTATCGGCCAGATGTCATACCCGACCGACTCGCGTCATTCCTACATCATCGCTACGTCATAGGGAACTGGAAGAGCCGAAGGGATTACTGGATTGACAGCCCTGCACCGGAGTCTAACCCAACCCCGGCCAACCCAAGCTCCACACCATCCGAACGCGGTCCAGCCCAACCTCTAACCCTCGCATGCTGTCGAGGCTGTAAAGAGCCAGACAAAGGCATCAAAGTGAGGTTAACCGAGTTCGTTGTGACGATTTTTTCAAATGGGTTTGAATAATTTCCTAAAGTATTTATATAAAACAAAATATCTAAATCTTGGGAGATATTTATTTTCAGTCACATTTTTTAAAATAATTGGATCGAAACGACACGTTTTTCTTTATTTGTCTAGACAAAATTTATTCCGGTAAATGCCGAGTCAACTCGTTCCCCTGATAGTTGTATAATTCATTAAAAATGGGGATTTAATTATCTCACAGCAGATGGATAACATTCTATCACAACTATTCACAACAACAAAGCAGCAGCAAAGAATTTGACTCAGAATTCAATTGCTAACGGTCGCGTGACGTCACAAGGTCAAATTCCCCCAAAGAAAATCTCAAAAGTATTTGACATCTAATTTATTTCACATACCTTCTACTCTTTCATTCAAACAAAATTATTCCTATACTGGATGTGATTTAAGAGCCTGGATTTACCTTCTCCCTAAAACTTATCCTAATTAAGTCTTTTGTCCATTTACTTCCCCGGCTGAGCTTTTCCTGCGTAATTCCTTCGGTTTCATGATTTTATTATTATTACGCAGCTTTCCAATAGGAAGCATATGACGGCAGCAATTAGAACTTACATTCTGAACAACGGAAGGGTAAATTAACTACATTACCTTGGCGCCGATGGGATTTTTGCAGGAGGAAACCCGAGACACGTGTGCCTTGGAGGACGACTCGATGCGACTGAAGATTTCCCTCCATAATTGGTTAGGTGGTCAACTTTTTTCAAGTCATTTTACAAAAGAAAGAATAAAAATAATGATATTTAGACGGGTAAGAACGAATGTAAATGAGAATATAATTGGAGGAATGTTTTATTATGGAGAGAATTATGATGATTAAATATAATGGATATATTAAAGGCGTTTTAAGCAGGGAAAGTTCTTGCCTGAAATCTCAAGCGACCTCCGTAGATGGCCAGACTTGCGCTAGCTAAAAGCGTTTTGAGCAGGGAAAGTTCTTGCCTGAAATCTCAAGCGTTTTTCTTGACAACTCAAGCATTTCGCTTGCTTTCTCAAGCGACCTCCGTCGATGGCTTGACTGCGCTTGCTAAGTCAAGCGGTGTACCGTCACCATGGCAACGGCGTCGGTCGTGTACCGTACTGGTCAGGATCCATCGAATGCGGCCGTTGGCCAGGAACTCCGCTTAATATCTTATCAGATAAATAATTTTTTCACGGTATCTGATTCTGTAATTTTCTTTAAATCATATTCAAAGAAATTGAAATTAAATGAAAACGAAAGGAGATAATGAAGGTTATGGGAATAAAAAGTTTTACTTATGAATAATAAATGATTATAAGACGAACAATTTTCAGCTCGTCTTTCTAAATCGAGAATATATCTGCTATTTTATGAAATAAAGAATATTTCAAGTGAAAAAGTCTGAGAAATTCTAGCAACATTCTTCTGTTGATATTATATTCGATTATTTGTTATATTTAACCTCATAAAATCGGATATATGGGAATGGATAGGCCTGTATTTTAATTCAAGGATATTCATTTGTTTTGATAACGCGTCAGAATGAAAGGGCTGTCAATCGGAACTGTGTCATTGTTTTAGAGGCACTTTATATAAATATAGGAGAAAATATAGCGCTTTGTTAAGATGTTTGGGTTAATCTATTTACTTCTCTGCCATCTTGATGCGGCGCTAGCTTGTCAGTTGTTTTGAATTGCGCGTTCAAATTGTTACCAACCGCAGGTGAAATAAACTCCACCCTCGACTTGTGCATAAGTTATCTCTTTCCGAGATTGTTGGTGGGAATATTGCTTTTAAAACCCAAGTATGTATATTTCGTGTGTTATTTTGATATTTCTATGCTCATCAAGAACTTTTATGATTTGTACTTTATAAAAAGACATTTCCACATGTTTGGCATCACTGAAGAGGGCCTGCCTGCCTTGGAAAGCGTTTTAAAAGGGAACGGTACAGCGCTTGGCAAGAATTCTTGCCAAGCGCTCCCCTGCTTAAAACGCTTTAAGACTTACTATTACATTAACTTCATTATCAACTGTGTCCATTCTCCTTTTAAAACCAGATAAAAAAGTAAAATAAACAAACCAAGGATAAAACAAAACCAAAGCATAAAAAGGAAAACCTGAGATCCCCTCAGTCTGTATATTCACAAAAGTTACAATGCATATGACACATCCTAACTGGCCTCTTACAAAACATGAATATACTTATCTTTCTCTCTTGTAGGAAATCGAAGAAACAAACAACAAAACAGGAGACGTCCAGTGAGGCCGGGCGCTCCGTGAGCAGCACTGAACTGCCGAGCCAACAACCCAAGAGAGAATCTAGTTTTTACTTTTACTTTTGTTGGATTTCTTGGCTATCAACCAGCGGCATGTGGCCAAGGTTATTAAGCCAATGGATCCTATTTATTCTTTCAATCTAAATAAGGTCATAAAGTTTTGTCTCCCTTAGAAAAGCGATTACTCTACTATATTATTTTTCATCATCTGATAGTAGTTTATTAGTGAATTCTAAAATTTTTTATTCTGAAATAATTTTGATGTTGTCGATGATTATATATTGGCATGTAGTTAATGTGTTTATGGTATTAATGGTATTGCAATGTGGGCATAGTGGAGGGAAATTTCGTTCAATATAGGGAGTGAGGTGGGTCAATCTTGTGGCATTGACCCTAAGGCGGGCCAATACCACCTCCTCCCTTCTATTTTTTCTGTGGGCTGTGTCCCACACTTCAATATTTTGCCTGATTTTATTAGGCAGTTGCAGGTCGGTCCACTCACTTTGCCACAGGAGATGGATTTTTGCTTTTATAAGAGACACAAAACACCTGAGATCTGTCCGGACTATGCTAAGGTCCAGATCGTCAGTTGACCCGGCTAGTCGGTCAGCCTGTTCATTGCCATGGATACCAGAGTGGCCTGGCACCCATATCAGCTTGATTGATTTGTTGGCACTATGTAGCTTACGAATGATATTACCCAGCAGTTCATTTTGAGTGGTTTCTAAGGATTTAATGGCTTTAAGTGAACTTAATGAGTCAGAAAAAATGACTATTCTATCGTGGGTCGTCGATAGTGCAAAATCAATAGCTTTATCAATAGCAAAAAGTTCGGCAATAAAGATCGATGTATGATTCGGCAGTCTGAATCTCAACTCACATTCATTCGACCATACACCTGCACCCACTACTTGCTCGGTCTTGGAGCCGTCGGTATATATATGAAAAAAAGGAAGATGTTTTATAAGGATCTCTCTGAACCTCTGGCGTACCTCCACCTCCGGCGCCATGGCCTTGGTTGATGGAAGCCAAGCTTCCATGATGGAAAAATTGGGTGTTTCCCATGGCGCTATATTTGTTGAACCAGGGTATCGATGGTAGAGAGATCTATACCGACTTTAAGGATGAGGTCGTGGAGTCTTGTAGTAAAGGGCCTAATGGCACCATTACCATTAGGGTGGCTTCGG